CGTCTAGTCCCGTTCCTATATTTTCTTTGTTCCTATATATAATACTTTCCTTTATATTATTTTCAAAATTTCTTTCATTTTGTTTTGTCCACTTAAGTTTATTTCAGTATTTAGTCCATTGGCTGATAATCTGAAACGTATTAGCAACCTACTAAGAAATCCACCAATCTCTGCATGAATTTCCTTGAAATGCAAGCCAAAACTAATACAGAGCTACCAGAAGTACCTACAAAAGTAAATTCTCTCTCATGATCTCCTAGAGTCTTACCATTCAAAACTTACATATCATTTTCCTTACAAAGTCCTATAATCCTCCTTCCATGAGCATTGGAGATTTTGTCCTTAGAAGTTCTTACCGGTTCCAATGTTCCAATACACCAAAGTACCCTCCCTCTTATATCCGTACATCCAGACTAAACTCTTCCTCTTCCCCTATTCTTCCATTTACATTTCCAATCATTACAATGGACGATCCACCTCCCTTCTCTGTGATGTCAACAACCCTTTCTAAATTCAAAAAATCTCTCTTACTTTTTCTCCTGGGCTTAGATATACTGGTCCTATGTCGACATTATGAGTTAACTTGGCCGGTCGAATTACCAGATATCCCTCTATCTCGATATACTTAGATTTAAATTCCGGCTTTATCCCACAGATCATTCCGTCACCAGCCCTACCATATGTGCTTGTCCTAGTGGCATGCACAATAAATGTCCTTAAACTATCAAGTAAATTATTCTATACAGAGCTAGATACCTCTTCAACATGAGTTATTTAAATATAAATATATAAAAACTACTTACATAATCATTAAATTCTAATGCCCTGAGTAATGTCTTAATCCCTCCTACATTATAATATAATATTCTAAATGTTTCAAAAGTATCACTAGACTCTCAGTATCTCTCACTACCTTCTACACTGGTACTTCTCGCTACTCCATATGTATGGTCTCTTCTGCTTGTTGCCTTATCTCCATACTTAAGTCTAAATAGATGTTCCAGTCTTTTACTAACTTTTCATTTTCCCCTCATTGCCCATTTTCTGTACCTCACATTAAGCCCACCTGATCATTCAAAGAATATCTCACTGACTCTAACAATAGTTTATCAAATATGAGTTTCACGATAATATCTCTGTTGTCTTTAATCTTTTCATCATTTTTCTCATTATTGTATTTTCCCACCTTATCTCGTTTGTATGGTCTCTGTTAACATAAATTTTGCTATTTTTCAGTTTCTGTTCCCTCTGATCTCTTTCTCGATTCCAAGCATATCTGTAAAAAATCTTTTAGTAACAGGAATACAGGTTCTCTACCGGAATGAAGCAACCCCTATAAATCAAGTTGTCTCTTCTTTGTCTCCCTTAATGCTCTATTAACTTTGGTTGCTTCACTTCATCTAATTATTAGATCTTCCAACTTTCCCGCAAAACAAGCAACTTGACACTCCAGAAGCACTACTCGTTCCCTTAACTCGTTATTTTCCTGTCCCAAACTCAAAATTTTCGCTCTTTGACTATTTATATCTTCTTTAGGTTTTTATGACGCTTACAACGCTTTTTAAATTTTCCCTATTTATCATGGCCGCATTGCTCTGGCACAACGGGGACACTTCGCTTCTTGAACGCTTATGCTTCGGTGTTAAAAACTTATCAGTGTCGTTGCTCATTTAAAAAAAAAAACCAATATGCATTCAGATCCAATAAACTAAGACCTGATAAAAACCCAAAGCCAAAAATAAAAATCGGAATAACTACATTTCTTAAGAGACTTGCTGTCCCGCTTTTGGAAACGCATTGTAGTATCATTATACAGTCAATATAAAAGAAGCTGGAATATCTAAACTTTAATATTTCAAAATTTTTCGTTAGCAAGATTTTTTCTTATTAGTCGGATTGCTGAGATTATTCCCGTAACGTAAACCGCTGTGACTGATGCAATAGATCCAAGAGCGCCTAATTGAGTACTGTGGTTAGTCACGCTGACACTCTATTGCTTACGCTGACCGTTAGTAACCCTGAGAGGGTTACTAACGGTCACGACGCGACGGTTCAGGTCATGACGCGTCTCTTCACTAACGATATATTTATGCAATTGTTGAAACTCTTTAAAAAATAGGTGAAAGTTTATGTCATATTCATAGTACTTCCCAATCAACAATATTCATGGTATTGCATACGATAAGTGAAAAGGCTAGAGTGTTAGTAGCAGGGCTAAATATCGGCTCTTAGAATCTCTTGAAAGCACCCCAATGTAAAGCGGAAATACACGTCATAGACTTCAGTGCGCGAAATATTGAAAACAGCTGAATTGGATGATAAATTGGGCAAAGTTGGGAGCCAATGTAGAACAGTAAATTCACAACTTTCTTTGGGAGCCAATTGTTAGGCCTCGTCTAGCTCAGTCTCTCAGGTGTAAAAAGTCTTATCTTAAAAGTAAATCTGAGAAATGAGTTTGGCTGGGACAAATAAACCAAGATATTAACTAATCATATTTAATATAATATAAAATATAAAATTTAAATTTTAATATTAAATAAAAAAACAGAGCAAATCTTGCCAACAGCTTTACAATAATTTTAAAATGATACTTACGGCTTCTGTGTCTTTAAGGAGTTGAGCAGGATTCTGATAGTTGTTGGTGACTTCAAATGCTGCTTGGATGGATTGTAGAATGCAGCGAGTACGGTTGCTAGCTCCAGATACTGGTTGGAATTATACTTAGGGATATGTTGAGTTATCATACCACCTTCTGCAGTATATTAGTTTCTATGGTCGACCATGTGGTTTTAGGTCCTTCCTGAGCAAGATGGATAAGAAAAATATAAATCAGGCAAAAAAACTAAAATAATAAATCTTGTGTAAGCAACATCATAACTTTTTTAATATTTCCTTGTCATGTTATTATGAAGATTACAAATAATTAAAATATTAGATGAAAAATAGCAAATTGGCATGGATAAAATGAATATAATTATTACTAGATAAATTAGTTAAATTATATTAAAGATACTAACTGCTTATGGTATGGAGATATAAAATAAACATATGGGATGGAGGTTAGATTTTTTCATATTCTTCTTTGGATCATGGATCCCTCGTCAATCACGGTTTCACCAATCGCGCGTTTCTCTTCGGGACATATCCCCTGCTGTTGTAGAGGGATTACTGTATATTTTATATAGGTTTAATTACCATATATTGTATATCTATAATTTTTATTTCCTCAGATTTCTCGTGGTTTGCTTTAACATAATCTGCTTATTTCCAGAAAAGATGTTTTGCTATGCGTTTGGCACCAATGAAACAAGCATATACACTACATTTCATATCTCAGCAAAGTTGGAAAACACTTGTATCGTAATCGGTCATTTTTTCCAAGATCTTTCATAAAATCAATTGTGTGAATGATACTTTTCTACGCTAATATATATATATATATATATATATATATATATATATTATATATATATATATATATATATACATAAGTTATATTAGATAATATTAAATATCGGATAAGACAATCAAAATTGTTTAGAAACCTAGAATGAACTTAAATGGCGATTAAAGAAATAATTTTATAGGTTATATACTAGAGAATATTATAAAAAGTATTTATATGAGGGCATCCTTAAGAAATTAGCATAATAATTTGTTTAAAAAGTTTTTATTTTGCAATGTATTTGGTTATTTTAATAATTATGATATTATAATAGATATGTTTATGCTATCTATATAGGCAACCAAAGATACACCGAAGTAAGTTTGGTTGTAGGAACTTTTGTGAATAAGAGATATTTGAAATCATAATTACGGATTAAAATAGTGTTATTTATTAATTTAAGATGTTTAATTTATATATAAGTTGACAATCTGATCTCAAAAGTCTAAATTTCCATAAAATTCTCAATAGAAAAGTAAAGAATTATCTAGAGGTTTAAAATAAGACGTCAATAGAATGAATTTAACCTCTTTTCGTAGGAGAATATTCGCGAACATTGAAATATCTATGAAATAGAAGAAATTCGAACCTATTTTCGTTCCACAATATTCGCGAACATTGAAATATCTATATTTACGCTGTGATTTGATGCATAGGAGGAGAGTGTATTGGTGTAGTCAGTATTGGGGATTTAGTATTGAAAAAGTATTAAGTATTAAGTAAAAAGTATTCAGTATAAAAAAATAGTAGTATTATAGTATTGTGGTATTGGAGAGTATTGTCACAGTAATGTAATACAGAAGACTATTGTAGTAAAAGGTCAAGATTAAAAATTATAGTATTTATATGGAGATTAAAAAAAATTAAAAATTTTATTATTTATATGGAGATTGGAGATTGGAAGAGAAAAAAAGATTATTAAAAAGAAGAATAAACAAGAAAGCAATAAAGAAGGAAGAATATTTTACCTATTAATAAATGTTATTAAGAAAAAAAATATTTTGAAATGGTGGAAGCTGATAATTGAAACATTGTGGTCTATTTGGCAAAGCAATTTCACAAAAGTAAGGATAACCGAGGCTGATAACGAAGACATTGAGTGATTATTAAAATCTTTATTTTGGAAAACAATTTCATTTAGGCATACGTAACGTACCAAATTTTGTTAGTATAATTTAATTGTTGTAATAAGAATTTCATTTTAAAGATAGGTTGTTATACATTTATCTTTAAATATTGTCTAAATTAGATATATATATATATATATATATATATATATATATATATATGTGTGTGTTGTGTGTGTTGTGTGTGTGTGTGTGTGTGTGGTGTGTGTGTGTGTGTGTGTTTCACAATAATTATAATAAAAATAATTTCAAAAGTGCTTAAAAACCAATTCTTGAGAACCGCGACAAAAACCCTATATTTTTAAAAATAATTTAAATAAAGTGACTCATTCAGCGGTTTTTCGTCAAGCAGTGTATAACCGAAATACTTATCGCTCCCTCCCAATACCTATCGATTTGTTCTATAACAAAACAGTGAGGCATGCACTCTCGGGTTGTTGTGGAAGTGATAGGATGTCTGATTGTTAATCAGACATCACTGAATTAACCAAAGCCTGTTACTCCATGGCTAGACATGGATAGCGTTGTTTATCAATCTCTACTCAGAGACAGACGTAAGTTTTTATCATTTTATCAAAAAACTTTTATACTAAAAAACTAATTCTTTCACGTGTCGAATAACAAATTATCGTATTATGTAAGGAGAAAGTTTTATTTAATCTCAAATAAAATAAATATTAAAACATTTATTGCAAAAACTCTTATCAAAATGTTTTTGTTAACAAATCCAGTTTTGCGATAATTTATGCTGAATCATTGTATGCGTGTATTTTACTTCACCAACAAAAATTTTAAAGGTTTCAATAGATTATAATGGTCCATTCGAGCTTGCCACACCGTTCATATGTCTTAAAATAGATAAAAATATGCTCCACGTCTTCGTATATGTATTGTTTGCATGTAGATTCGTTAATTTATTCACTGTTATAACGTAAAATATACCGGTAAACTAATTAATTGACGAAAATATCGTGTGTAGTTGATACAAGCAAGAAGTTTGAATTAAAAAGAAGGACAAATTTGACGTATCAAAATTTATTCAGTTATTCGTTTATTTATTTAAAATATTATAGGTAATATGGTGCTATTAATAATAACCATAATTATATATAAACAAATAAACATATTATATTCCTTAGCTTAAGTTACCGTTTTTTCTTTTCTCCGTTGGCTCAACCTGTTGTGGTTAATCATTTTTTTCACCACAGTAGCTGTTCTTCTTTTGAATTCTTCTTGTTGAAGGTCCTTTTTCTATCAGAGTTTGGAAATTATATAGACGATTGTAAGCTTATTTATAGCTGTCTAATAATTGAGTTAACCTCATATTTATTCCCTTAAATTTTTAAGCCAAGAAATTATCTGTCTTCCAATGATGCTCTTGCTTTACGTTACCTTTCATTATAAGACGTATCATCTCATAACTGGTTCCACTCATTATATGATTATACTCCAGTTTGTCCCTTTTCACCACTCGTATTATTTTGTGTTTTTTGTTTATTCTTTGCAACACTTCTTCATTTATAATATGGTCTATCCACGGTATACTTACCATTCTACGTACCATACCTACCATCTTTCGTATATTTCTAATTTATGTAACTCTGCTTTTTTCAACGTCCATGCTTTAACGCCATGGATGGGACGCCATACGCCATGGCGCCATAACGCCAACAATGTGGAGATTATTTCTTTTGCTCGCTCTGCGTCTTTCGTTATCCATGCGCTAAGGTATTTATAGTGTCCTACTTTTTCTATTATTGCATTAGGTATAGGGCGGTTAAGGATGTATGATGTATGTGTCGTTAATATAAATTTTGTTTTCTTTAAAATCATCGTTATTCCATATATATTACATGTATCATATCGTTCTGTAAATCATTCAAGTTATCTGCAATTATAACAGTGTCATCGGCGTGGCTCAATTATTGTTTTCATTATTAAATTAGAGACGGTTAAGACTTATTCTCCGCTTCCCAAAGCGTTTTCGGCAACGGCAGATTTATCGATATGTCCCAAACTACAATGGCTTTTATGTTCGTTTATCCTTGTGTTTGTGTGCCTTTTCGTGGTTCCCACATATACCATTCCACATGTGCATGGTATTTGGTATATTCCGGTCTTTGCTAATGGGTCGCGTTTGTCCTTCACTGATCGTAAACAGTCCTTGATTTTCTTTGTAGGCTTGAAAATGGTCTTTACATTGGCTTTTTTAAGTATTCGCCCAATTCTGTCTGTTACACCCGATATATATGGCAAGAACTCTTTGCCTATACATGTTGTTTTTTTGTTCTTTCTTCTAGAAACGTTGTTAATCGCTTTATGTATTTTTCTTCTGGTATAATCATTAGAGGTGAGCTTTTTCAATATGAAGAAGTTCACTTTGCAGATGCTGTGGTTCATAAAATCTCTTCGCCCTCTCCGCCATAGATTTGATGATACCTTGTTTTTGGCCTGGATGATGATTTGAGTTCCTGTTTAGGTATCTGTCCGTGTGTGTGGGTTTTTGGTATACTTTATGTCTACATCTAGGAACCCTAGTTGTTGATCTTTCTCTGTTTCCATCGTAAATTGAATATTTGGCAGTAGTGTGTTTATATAAAACAGGAAATAGTTAAGTTTTTCTACTCCGTGACCTCAAATCACAAAAGTGTCATCGACTTATCTAAACCATACCCTTGGCTTGTATGCTGACTCCATTACTCTCTTTTCTAGATGCTCCATGAAAAGGTTGGCTACGACCGGGCTTAGTGGGCTTCTCATTTCTATTCCATCTACCTGTTCATAAATCTGGTCTTCCCATGAAAAGTAGGTGGTAGTGAGGCAAATACGGTATAATTCCACCATATCCTTGGAAACTAGTCCTTCAATTAAATTCAGAACGTCTTCTAGGGAACTCTTCTAAATAGGGAAACAACATCAAAGCTAACAAGAATGTCAGGTTCCTGTAAAGTTATTCCTTAGATCTTCTCGATGAAATGGGCGGAGTCTTTTACAAAGGAATCGTTTTTTCCTATTTGTCGTTTTAAATTATCGGCCAGATATTTAGCAAGGCTGTAAGACAGACACTCTATGGAGCTCACAATAGGGCGTAGAGGTAGATCGTTTTTGTGTATTTTCGGTAAGCCATACTAGCGTGGTGGGACTGCTTCGCTGTTGCATATTCTTGGCTTTGTATCCTCTGGTATGGACGAAGATTTTATAAGTCTATTGATTTTCCTATTATAACTATTACATCTTACAGGACTTGACACTAAGGACATCCAGATTATAAAAAATCTATATTGGAATCAAACAGTACACATCAACAATGGACATATGGCGAGTGAAAACGTAACCATTTTGAGAGGGGTTAGACAGGGCTATATTATTTCGCCACTGCTTCTCAACCTGTACACGAAACAAATATTTCTAGAGGCACTGGAAGAGTACAACGAGGGCATCAAGATTAATGGCGTACCAATAAGTAATTTTCGATATGTAGATGATACTGTTATACTGGCCGATAACATCGAAGATTTACAGATGATGCTAAGTAGAGTAAATACAACTGGCAACCGATTTGGACTGATGATCAATAAACTAAATATATGGTGATTAAGGAGTAAAAAGAACATTCAACATATCGACCCAAATATTGAAGCCGAACGTATTGAAAGAGTACACCGATTTAAATGATAAGTGAGACCCCGACGTAGAGATTAAGATCCGAAGTGAAATAGCAAGATCCAAATTCATCAAAATGAGAAAGCTCTTAAGTAACCGCAACCTAAGCGTTAACCTCCGATGGCGCGCCACGAAATGCTACGTATTCTCTACGCTACTTTACGGAGTAGAAGGGTGGACGTTAACAGCAGCAACTATAAAGAAGTTGCGGCTCTAGAAATGTGGCTGTATCGACGCATACTGAGAATACCTTGGACAGACAGAGTGACCAACACAGAGGTATTAAGACAAATGGGTAAAGGCAGTGGAATTGTTAACAACTGTTAAAAGGATAAAAGCGTTCATACTGGGCCATTTGTTCCGTAATGATAAGTACATTCTGCTACAGCTTATCGTGGAAAGCAAGATTGAAGGTAGAAGAGGTTTGGGCAGAAAGAAGAAATCCTGGCTGAAAAACTTGAGAGAATGGTTTCAGTACCAGAAGCTGCGAACATAATACATGCGGCACAAAACAGAGAAAACTATCGTTTGATGGTCGCCAACTTTAGGTAGAAGACGGCACATAAAGAAGAAGAATTGATTTTCCGTAGGGTGACTGCTGTGGGATCTTTTTTAAATCTTTTATATGCCGCAGGATCTAGAAGATTTTGTATTTTCGTTTTGTAGTCGGTTGTCTTCATTACGACGGTGGCGTTTTCATTGTCTGCTGGTAAAATTACAACATCTTTGTCTGCGTTTAACGATTTTATGCCACGGATTTCTTGGTGATTAAGGTTATTTTTCAGTGTCTTAGTTTTAACCCCAGCCGAAACATAATTTCCAATATCATCGCTAATATCGAGTCTGCGATTCGCAACTTACCAATCGAAAAAGCTGAAGAGAACTAATGCATTTTATCGGTTGAAAAGATGTTTTTATCTCGTTATCTAGCTCACAGGTATTTATTGGAGGAATCGAAGAAAGCTGTCCAGTTACTATTACATTAGACCATGTTATATTTTCCTCTTTGTTGCCTCTATCCTGGCATCGATTTTGATTGTTGATGATTTTGCAGGCCCGTGTATTATTTATCGTCATCCTCCCCCGCTGGATCTTGGGTCGCGATCACCATGGTCACTAGATAGTTGATTTTTTTTGCCCATACATATCTAGATCATCAGTCCCTTGTTCGTTTTAAAAGAGTGTAACAAGTCCATCTACACGTTAATTTGCCTTTTGATCTTTCAACCACTTTGTTGCGAACGTGTTAACAAAATCACGCTACTTTTTTCAGCTCTTATTCTCGATGTTGGAAGTGAACTTGTGTTGTGGTCTAGGCATAATGAATACGAGTATTAGTCAACGCCGATATATTTTCATTAATAATTAATAATTTTATCCTGTATTTATTTGAATTTCAATAATTACTTAATGAACACTTTTCTTTTATAAAACAAAGAGAGAGCAAGCGAAACACCGAATATCGCATTGTCAAGGTTGATAAAACATAATTCTTCCTATTGACTCATTCTTTACGCGTTATATAATAAGTGTTAAGTAACGACACAGTAAATAATAGTATTTTGTGTATCCTTTTGTATTAAAATATGTTAATGGATTTTAAATTTATAGAAGTAAAACATAACACTCAAATGTAGACGGAGTAACATTTCTTTTTTGTGAAGAATTGTTATTCGGCTCCGGAGAAGAGTAGCTGCTCCAGTAAAACGAGTTTCAAAAATTAACGTCTTACAAAGCATCATCTACAAATGTTTCCGCACTATTATGTGTGTGTTTATGTTTAAATGGGTTTAACACGATAAACGAACATGTCTTCTAGACATGACAATAAACTATAACTCCAGCAAAAAATAATGAAGTGAGTCATATGCGTGATCTCTTAAGCTATCTT